TAAGACGCTATTTCTCTCCCTCCAGGATTTTTTTTTTGCAGGGCCCTTCTTCGCCAGCTGCTTCCACCCAGCCAGCTTCAATACCTCCAGCACTGCATCACCAGTGTCAGATTTTGCTATTGCTGGTGTTGCTTTACGTTCAGGTTGTACCAGAATATCAAATTTAAGGTGCAGACAGGAACAAAACCATTGAGGCCATGTGGACATAAAACAACAGATGGGCAGTGCCTTGCTGCTCTGGTTGGGCAGATTTTGAAGCTAATAATAATTGTAAACATCTCTCTCCATCTTGTTTAATCCTTATAATCTCCTTACCCTCCAGTCCAGATTGTTGTTTTCTTTGTGTGCTGAGATCGCTCCTCGTAGCCGGGACATGCCAGACCTGTGTGCACTGCACATTGCCTTTGGTGAGGTGTACCCAACTATCCTGACAAAGACTTCTTTAGGGATTTCTTTCCTCACAAAACGTCCTTCATGCTTCCAAGGGGCAGGCAGGGCTGCGGCAGTTTGAAAGATGCCAGCAAGTTAAAAAAAGAAATAAACATTTCATGATGAGTACATCCAGAGAACAGGGGTCACATTTTATTCCTGGTTTTGCTCTGGATGTGCTTTGTAGCTTTTAGAGTGGCCAGTTCTTACAAGCCTGGTTGTTTCACGCACAACCCCTAGGGTTATGTTATCAGATTACAAGTCTTCCCTTCCATTAAAACATGAGGTTTCTAGATTTTTGTGGTTGAAAATATGAAGAAGTTCAAAAATCCAGACAGCAAGCTGAGAAATCGGACTTTTTTTTTTTTTTTTTTTTTTTTTTAGACTCAGGGGAGGAGCTGACTCTGGGTTTTTGAGCTTTTAATAGTAATACAGTAATACTGGAATCTGGTCACATGGCTGGTGAGCTTGGCCTTCCCAAGGCTGAGCACTCGGGTCTCAGCTGACTGCAAAGGGAAGGGCAGGCACTGACCGCTCTAAAAAGCCACGGAATCCTTTTCTGGAAAACGGTCTTGGCCTTTGCTGGCTTCTCTTCCTTTTCTGCTGTGGCAAAGCAAAATCACCTACTCATTTTGATGTGGTTTGAGATCCCTGTGCGAGAGGTGCAGCACTCAGCGATGGTAACGAGCCCGATTCCCTCTTCTCCCACCTCCAAGCAGAGCCAGCGATGGAAGGCGGCACCATGGACTCGGCTAACAACAAATCCACCCAGTCTATACCCGGAGAGCAGCGTTACAGGGAGCAGCAGCTGGACCAAAAGAGGCTCTTCAACCTGGGAGACAGAGACCATATCCAATTACTGAAGATAAAGGTGGATAAATTTGACTCAGAATAGATTGGAGGTTTTTTGTTGTGTTTGTTTTGCTGTTTAAGAATGAGGATAATTGGCCATTGGAGCAATTTATCAAGAAATGGGTTGAAGCCTCTAGTGGTAGAAGAACTTAAGCTAAGCCTGGATGCCTTACTGAAAGGAAGAATTAAGTCCTGTGCCTTCTACTATTCAGGAATTCAGAGTGGCAATCCCAGCCTTCCCCTCTGACCTTTAATTCGCTAAACTGGCTGCACGCTGGGTTTCAGGTTGTTTCATGCCAGGTGCACCTGATAAATCAGTTTGTTCTGAATCCAGCTTCCTTTTCCTGCGGCTGCTGGTCTCCTGACCATATGGCAGAGCTACACTTCGACCCGTGCCCCTGAACTGCTCCTCCGGAGGCTGCTGGTACCTGCATCATCTTTACATCCTGTAACTCGGATAGCGCTGATTCATACTCTGACTCGCTGCGGAATGTCATTCTGCTCTCATTTGTACTGAATCAATTACATTTCTTTGGAAAGATATCTGCCTTGAACCCTGCTAGGAGGTATAACAAACCAGAATAGGGGTATTGATAATTCCACGTTAATAACTTAAAAGGAGAAAGATAGCTGTCCTTGAGCAAAGACAGAAGTTGTTAGAATAATGATCTCCCCAGGGCAGGGATTATCATTCTCTCATGAGCATCTTCAGCACAGAGGAGTGGTCCCCGCTCTGCCTCTGCCATCACAAATGATACGGCTAGAGTTTGGGCCCTCTCCTCCAGCACCGAGACCAGCAGGAGCTTTACTAACCCCAAAAGAAGCCAGACTGGTCCCCGCCGCTGCTTTTAGCTCTGCCACCACACTAAGACAGCAGCCACCCTGCGTGAGTCCACCCCGGGGCTAACCCCTGCTCCCTGCAGCCCTGGGGGATCTGCCACCCCAGGACAGGTCCTGGAGACCCCAGCCCCCCCTTCCCCACAACTGCCTCTCCTCGGGAGGTCCCTTCCTTGCTCTCCTGCGGGGAAGGGAGGATCTGCCACACCGTAAGCTCTTTGGGCAGTGAATGCATGTGTTAAGCCCTGTGGCTATTTACGGTGCTGTTTCCAGGACAGATAATATCACGCGACAAGTGCGTGACCACCCCAACAGCAAATGCGGGGTTTGATTTGTGGCTTTAATTTGAGACTGGCTAGTGCCAAACGCTGGCTCTTCACATTATGGCATGCTCAGGCTGCCCGACTCGGATGTCTGAGGATGCAGAAGAGCACGTGAGAACAGAGATGGACTAATGTCCACCCTCTGCCCCCCCAGTCCTGTCCCCTGCCGCCCAGCATACCCAGTCCCTTCTGCTGCCCCTCTTCTGGGAAGTCCCTCCGGCAGCCTCAGCCTGATTGCGTGGTTCCTGATCCACCAAAAGCAGATTATTTCTGCTGGACCATCTGCAAAAGCTATCTATGTATTTATGAAGTCCATTATTTCCTACTAGAAGCTCCAGCTCCCCCTTCCCCACCCCCTTCCTCAGTCCCAGCTTTTCCACCACATCCGAGCAGGAAAATAAAAGAACAAAGAGCAGTTACCTGGAAAACAAAACAAAAAAAGAAAAGGTGAAAGCCAAGGTGAGTCAGGGAGATGTCAGTCCCATAGCAACTAGAGGTTCCAATTAATCAGATGTAAATTGGGATGCAGTGTAAAGCAGGAAATACATTCGGCAGGGTGTTGGTGGCCAGTCCGCAGCTGCGTGCCGGGCTAAGAGCGGAGAATTGGTGTGGGAGCTGTGCCCTGGGGCTCTCCTCTCTTTGCCCATCAGCCCTGGGTTGCAGGGGGTCACTGGCCACCCTTCAGCCCTGAAATATGTGGCTGTATCGGGTGCTGCTTCTAGTTAGAGAGCAGAGAGGACCAGACAGCCTGTCCCTGCCGTGGAAGAGGCACCACAGCCCCTAAGCTCGGGAATACGAAGCGTACCCGCGTGCGGTACCCTCAGGGGGGAGGTGGTTGTCCTGAGGGGGAAGTACAGAGCCTCTGTCCCTGCCCGCCGTGGCAGACCCTGGATCCAGCAGCCGATTTCAGCCCTGCCTGGCAGAGCGATGAGGTCCCAAAGAAACTCAGTTCCTGCAAGTTTCACACATCCACGGAAGGTGGGGGAGGATTCGGCTCTTCTTGGATGCTAGAGTTGGCAAGGGACAAGCCCGTGGGGAACCAGTCCCTCAGCTGGAGCAGGACACGGGCATTTGCCCCACAGCTACAATGGCAAAGGTGCTGAGCCTGAGCCAGACTTTAGTGTCCCCAAACAGTGGAGAAGCCCCCAAAGCCGTGCTGGGAGATTTCCCTGCAGGGCCTGGGGAAAAGATGCAGGGTCGGGGTGGCAGAAGCCCGGCAGGCTTTCCATCCAGGAGGGAGCTCCTTTTACTGGTGCTGCATGGAAATCAAAGCAGGACCCACCACTGCAGGAAGAAATGTCTTTCCCATTCAGTCAGCAGTCCTGGAGGAAGCCGGGGCTGCGCAGCAGGCAATGGGAGTGTTTGACTCTCTTTTGCTGAAGTCCCGCAGTGTTTGGTTGTTTCTGAATGTGGCATCTCCACTTGCCGGGAGCTGCAGGTCAGGCAGTGCAGCTCCCTCCAGGCTGTAAACCTCCCCAGCCTGTCTGCCTGCCTGGGAAGATATCATAAAATATTGATTATTCTCAGCACACTCCTGTCCTCCAGACGTTTAGCAGCAAGCTCTTCCTGCAGTCATCAGCAAAGCAGAGGCCCCTGCTCCTGAGCAAATCCTTGCTGGGTGAATGGAAGTGCAGGGACAGGTAGTTCAGTGAATGCAAGAACAGGAGAGGGCTTTGAAACACATAGGTCTGGGTCCTTTAATTTTAATGAGGAAAGAAATGCAGCAGCTGAGAACCTTACAGGGGCACTGGACAGATGATGTGTGTGCAAGCAGATGCAGTATCCACAGAGCAGCAATGTACCTCGTCTGCTTGAGAGCAGGACCAGATAAGTCCTGAATCCTGGCGCATTAACCCCTGTCCGCGCAGTCTTCGCAGTAACGCCGCTTGCTCCGATCGCTGAATTGCTGCTCTGTGTGCAAAGCACGGGCTGTGCAGAGCTGGGCCGTGGGTGCCACAGGCTCTGATGGCCCTGCATCAGCCCCAGCTGTGAGAGGACACACGGCCTTTCTTCAAGCTCTCAGCAGTCAACAGCGAGGGAAGGGGCCGTACAGCCCTCTCCTGCCAGAGCCCGCCCCAAATGGGAGCACTGGGGTCACCGCTGACATCCAGTTACTTGGAGTGATGCTTCTCCAGCCTCTCTTGCCACATCGGGAGTGACTGTATCCCGCTCCTCACAGGTTCCCCAGGGCATTCAACACCTGCCTGTGTAGACAGGAGCACTGAAGGGACTTGTCCTGGCCTGCCAGCCACCAGCACAGAAAGTATCTCCTGGATCGCGTCTCTTGCTCTAGCCCTTGAGCGTTTCTACCTTCCCAGCTGCTTTCCACAGATCTACCCTCAATCAGCATGTAAATTGGCTAGGAAGTCAGTCTAATCCTTTTGGAAGAGCCCAGCTTTACTGGAAAACTTTGCTGGCATGCAAAGCAGCCGTGCCCGAGCCATCTTAGCAGCCACGTACCTGAGTCTCTCTGGCTTGTGGGTCCTGATACGGGCTCTTCTCCTCCACACCCTGCAATCCTGCTACTAGTGAACAGCAGCAGGATCTCCTGCAGGATTTCGGAGCATCCCAGAGCAGGAAGATGAGGAAGAGGAGAATGGAAGTATTGCTGCAAAACAGTCTCAGGAAAAGGAGGTCAAAGCACCTGCAAATGAGACAACACATGGCTTTGTTTCCTCTCTCAGCCCCGCAAACTGCTGTGTAAGAACTGCCTTCTTTATTTGGCAATGTTACTGTAAAATGGGTCCCAATGGTGTTTTGAAAGCTCGTGGCTTGGCTATGAGCAGGAGCATCAACAGAGATTGTTGGGATTCCCAGATGGATGGGAAACGTGTTTATTTCTGCCAAGGCATTTTCTACGTGCTCTCTGCATTAATCTTGTAGGAAGTGGCAGCGAGACAAGAGGAGAGAACGTTCAGTGGGGGCCTGGCAAATCCGCAGTGTAGTGTTTCTTCCTGCTCCAGCCCTGCTCCTCTGCTGCGCAGCTTTTCATCTGCAAATTCTCTGATGCTGCTGCCAAAAGGGAAACCCAAAATTCATGGCCAAGAGGGTGAGTTGCAGTGGCAGCAAAGCTGTTTCGTATTTGACTGCAGCAAGCAGCTGTGCCAGGCTCTGAGCTTTTTCCCCCCTGCTACCCCGGAGGCTCGTACATACTTCTGTGCTGCCTGGAGCTGAGAGAGTTGTCCTGACAGAGGTGTCGAGGTGCTCACCACCCAGCCCTGGCAAGCAAGCACTGAGGGTCAGTGCTGAAAGCAGGACCAGGGCACGCAGCACCATCCAGGATGGGCGGGACTGGGCAGAGGAGGATGGGGGCAGCTCCCAAGGCGGGCACCAAAAGGGAGCAAGAGCTTGTTCAAGCCCTTTTTAGCAGCCACTTCAGCTGCTTACCAGCATTTACCGGCTGTAGTTTCAGCAGCTGGTTCTACCTGGTTGGGCAGCACAACCCCCTGCACATCTGCTGCCACTTGAAGCTCCTCTGGAAACATCCCCCTCGTTCGCTTTGGAGATTTAGCACACAGCTCGAAGGAGGAGAGAGGCTGCAAGCCAAGTGATGGGGTAGGGACCAAGCAGCAGCCCTTGATACAGGTTTCTAGCCGCCTGCAGCGCTGCGGGCATGCTGCAGGAGCGTGGAGACACAGAACCTTCCCCAAAAGGCTCCCAATCTAATCCTTAGATGCGATCGTGACTAATAAATGATAAAGTGATAAAGAAAAGATGTTAAAAAGATGACAAAAGACCAAAGGAGACAGCAGTAACCCCGCCGACTTGCTCAGCTCTGATGCAAGCTCCTTTTGACAATTCAATTATAATGTGATGCTAATTACTCTGTTGATGGTATTGAGCGCCAAGGCAGAAGGGCACTACAAGAAAGGGATATTGATAGGGGAAGGTGGCAGCAATAGCACTTCTCGCCCAGAGAGATGCCAAACTGCATCAAGTGAGCACTGAAAAGGAGCCAAGATCTGGGGTGGAGTGTGGCGGGGAACAGTAACGTTGGATGACAGCTCAAAGGGAACGATAATGAATGTGATAGTTGTCTGAAACAGAGGCTGATCTTGCACAGGCAGAAGGCAATTAACCAGGAGAGGGTTTCAGATCCGGGCTGGCGTAGATGCCTTTCTGCTGTCAGCCCTTTAAAAGCCTGCAGCTGGGCATTTGCACTTCTCCTCTCAAATCCGATGCTCCCAACTGAGCACAATCACCACGCAGTGGTCAGGGACCAAACCCAAACCTCTGACATGCCAGAAAAGAGCTGAGGGGCTTGTCCTTAATCAGATGAAAGCCACTGAAGGGTTAAAGTCACTCCACTGTGCCTCAAGTCCCACTGCTCACTGCAACATGCATAACAGCACCTTCCCTGAAAACAGGGTCACCAACACACGCGCTTTCACTAATTCCATATTTAAAACATGGCTTCTCAATCAAAGAGGTGCTATTACTCACAAAGCAGCTTAAATTGTCCCCGAGATTTAAATACAGCCTGTTGCATAAAACATCTTTTTATCAATTTCACTTAGGGCTGACAAGCGCTCCCCCGCGCACATCCTTTTAATAACGTCAGTGCGCTTCGCAGAGCCCGTAAGTGCATTCCTCTGGGAAGCAAATATCCTTAAGGGCACCTTTTGTCATTGTTCGTTTTCTCCAGTTGCTGAAGAGGGATTGTGCTGAGAAGTGCTGGGCTCCTATTGCATCACATCACATTTTGGGAAGAGCACTCTGTGTGCAGTTTCTAGGAGGTGGGTGGAGGGTGCCAGGCTAGAAGAAACATCCTCAGCTGCTGTGCAGGGCATGAGAAGGGATACTCCAGCCCACTGTCTGCCCAGTGAGAAAACCACATTTGGTTGGAGTCTGGTATTAGTGAGCAGAAATTTAGAGCATTGTTACGGTGAGGACAGAACTTCCTTCCCAAGGATGTTCTCAGCACCAGCAAGCCTGACATGGGGACTAAACGCTACAGCCCCACTTGCCCATTTCTTGGCAAAGGAGCATCAAATCCCCTTACTCTGCGCTCCGGTCGCCGTGGCTCTGCTAGTGCCGTGTTGCTTATCAGCCACCATGTGATGTGCTCTTTCCCAGAAGAGGCACAAAGTTTTGAGGTAGGCTGGGGAATCATTTGGGAATTGAGTGTAGCACTCCCACCCTTCAAGAAGAATCAAAGGGAGAAATAGGACAAATTGTATCAAATTGTATAGGGAGAACGGGATGGAAGCAGTGTTACCTTGTGGTCAATGTGCTGGTCTGGCGTTTGGGGAACTTTGGTTTATTTTGGCTTCTGCAGATGGGCTCGGTGGATGACAATTGGTGAAAACGTTGGTCTTTTGTATTTTAGCTTCTCCACCTGCCAAATGAAGAGAACAAGACAAATGAACTGCTGAAGTGTGCTGCATAAGAGAGAGATTAGGTGGTTAATTAACAATGGCAAGAGTTCAAGGTACAGACTTTCATGACATTTTCTCTCAGGCCACAGAACTCTCACGGCAGCATGCTGGAGGGCTGGGTCAGGAGCAAGCCCAAAACCTCACCCTGCCAGCAGCTCGGTGCTGGAGCTGGCTGGCGGTGCAGATCATCTATCCGTGCACCGAACCCAGCCCGGCTTTGTGAGCAGGCTTGATTACAGCATCACAGGCACTGCCAGCAACCGAGGGCCAGACAGAAAAGGCATTGACTGCTCAGGCTGTTAAAAACTGCTCGCTGCTGGCACTGCAAACTTGTATGGCATCCGGACATTGAGTTGGACTTCTCAGCAGCTGCTGTACATAAAGGTTGGAGATGGAAGGGATGGGAAATACAGGAACCTTTTTTAAACTCAAATGAAGGAAGGCTTTTTTAAAAAGACAAAAAAAATCCCCCGAACCAAACGCAAAACCCACAAACCTCATTATTTAAAAAAATCCATATGAAATGTACTGGAAAATCTGTATTGCCTGCTGTTTAGTCAAACAGCTCCCATCTTGTCATTAGCTGCTAGAACTTCGTTTGTCAGAAGAACTGTGCATCTGTAGAACAATTACTTTCATATTAATGCCCACAGGCTCCCTGCCAGGGAGCTGTGCTCTTCATCAGTTTTTGACCATCTGTGTCCCCTTTGATGCATTGTTTTTTTTTTTTTTTCCCTCCATTTCCTGAGCTTCAGGCTGACATTTGCTCTCTAGGATTAGGAGGTTGCCATCTTCATCACTCAGAGAGAAGGGTTTTCACCCCAGAGTCTTCAAGCCCAGCTTCCAAAACCACTATGGTATTAAAATTACTTGCAAAGGGATGCTGTGCACTTTGAAGTCTCACTACAGTCAGGGCGATGTGAGGATGCTTTTCTCCTCTGCTGGATGAGGCCGTATGCAACCATCAGTGCCTTCCTCCTCTGCTGCTGTTCCCTGCCAGGAGCCCTGGGTGAAACATCTCCCACTTTGGGAACGGGACCTGCACTGAGCTGGGTATTGGATTTGGGACTGAAGCAGAAGTGGAGAGTGAGCGAACCCTGGGGAGGGAAGCTGAGTGGGAGGGAGGGGAAGGTCTGAGGTCGGAGAGAAGGACAATGATCAAGGGCTGGTGCGTGGAGCTGGAGCCAGGCAGGTTTCAGGTGACTTCTCCAGAACCCTGTGGCTGGTTTAGGTATCAGACATCTGGCTATTGCCTCTGGAAGCAGATTCATATGAGCACAGTTCCAGTGATATTCCCTCACTTGTGCATGATCTGCTGTGGCCCAGCTGCCTCATGACAGCGTATTTTCCAGGCAGCGACCAGACAAGCAAGAACACTGTGAGCCTCAGCCGTGAAGCCCACGTATTGCAGCCCATGTGCCAGGGACTCCCAGCAACCTTCCTGCTAACAGGCCAGACATGGATGCAAATGAAATGTGTTTGTAGCTAAAGTCCACCAAGCAGTGTCACAGCTTTCTTTTGGATGGGAGCTGAGGCTTAGCAGGGCCAAACCTTTGAGAAATCGGTTTTCTATTCTTTTTTTTTTCCTTTCCGAAGTGAATTTCAAAGTCTCTGTGCATCTTCCTCTGCTTTCCAGTATAGCCAATGCCGCTTGCCATCCTCCTTTTTAAATTGGCACCCCTGTTGTCATTGCAGAGGTGCAGAGTCAACACAGCAGGAGCATAAACCAGACAGATTGGGGTTAGCACCAGCTACAGTGGCTAAGTGGACTGACGGATGCTTTTAATAACCACAAATGCTATTCTTGGTGTTGATGATTTAGCAGTTATCATAAGATACAGAGGGAATTAAAATGAATCTAAGGAGAGTACTTTTCATCCGTGCCTGCCTGCTGCCCGCTGGCCTGGCTCTGGATCATGCTATTACTGCCGAGAGATACCAGCCTTTCAGCAAAGAATCAAAATCCACAATCGCTTGATTTAACAGCTGGAATATTGCAGTCTTCCTTCTGCACATGGTCATCCAAGGTCACTGAAAAACACTGCAAGGCTTTCTGTTTTGATTTTTGTTTGGGCCTAGAAAAAACCTCCTCAAAAGCAAACAAAACAAAACTCAGGCCGAGCTAAGTTATGTCATTAGTTATTTGGTTTAAATGCATTTTTTTTTAAGTAACTGTACTTGAGTATGTGTGAATTTTCCATACAAACAGTGGGTTGCAGTGTCCCTTTTTAGTCCAAGAGAGATTTTAAGGCCATTCATGAATGGTGGAGTAGCCCCTCTCCAGGTTTGGTTGAAAAGCACAGGGACACAATCCCCTTCATGCAAGCGTGAACTACCCAAGAGCCAGGGCCTCAGCTCCCCGCCCATGGTTCCAGCCTTCCTGAATGAACCTTGCTGCCCTCTGCGTTAGCAATTGGCGTCTCCATAAAGATCATCTAAGGCAGCAGAATTCCATGCACTGAAAGATTTCAGAAAGCAAAGACATTGGGTCTTAGGAATCTATGGCATTGTAACATTTTTTTCCACCAATTCTGAACAGCATGAGTCCAGTAAATCTATTTCTACTCATGCTCTGAGCACTGCAGAAATTTCTGTAAGGCCCTTGTCTAGGTGGCTAACAGTACAGGTTTTTAGGCATGCGTGGTACCACAGCAAAGATAAGCCCAAAAATGAGGCGGCGCCAGAGAATCAAGAAATGAGGCAATTGCAAGAGAACAAATGGGAAGTGAGAGACTAAGGGCACAGTTAAACAGGCACAACTCCAAAGGCAGAAATAGTGAGTGTTGCCGGACAAACGTTGCATCTCTGCTATTAACACCCATGAAAGTGCAGAACACTGGCTTGTAGGTGACCACATTTCAGTGGCTCAGTAAATCTGTCAGCCGATGCCCATCAGCGGTGCCGCGGTAGCTGCCCGGGCTCGCAGGGCCCCGTCTGCACGGTGACGCGCCCCGGCTGTGGGAGCAGGGACCAGGCCACCGCTCAGCGGGGCCAGAACCCGCCCGCCCTCGGTCGGGGTGGCGTGGCTGGCACATGGCACCGCACCACCACTTAAACACTATTGCCTTCAAGTGTGTGCTTGCAGCCTGCAGACGGGACTCTCCGAGGGCAGACAAGTCAAGGCTTGGCTACAACTAATTATTCCTTTAGATTTACCAGTACTGGCTACGCGCATTAAAACTACAAGTTCCTGGGGCAAGCCGGGCAACAAAAGGTTCATTAAGACCAAGTGGGTTAAAAGGTCACCTTCTTGCTTCACATAGATCACTGAAAGGGACAGGGAGAACCCAGCTTCCAGGCATTTACTATTGTATTTTTTCACTGCTCTCCAATAATTTGAATTTTTGCATTCATTAAATCGGCATTATTAATTCTCAACGTTACTTCTTGCCTCATTTCCTCTCTCATACAAGATCTCAATTTATTCCATTCAGATCCTCAGAGACAGCTTCCTGTGTCCCTGTTCTAACCCTCTTTAATGTTTAACTCTTCTCCTGGTACACCCCAAACCTCCCAAGGAGCAGAGGTCACAACTAGCTGCCCTGTGCATCCCCAGCCCTTATATTTCTGGCTGAGGAAGGAACAGCCCATTCCCCCAATTTCCAGCCTGCGCTTTCCTTTGCCTCCTGGGTTAACTTCTCCACCTGCAGCCCCCTCTGCCTCTCCCCATCGTTTAGGCACGAAGTTGATCTCTCAGCTGTAACAAAGGGGAGTCAAGTTTTGCACAGCCTACGGACACAGCCCCATCTCCCCTCCACTGGGCTATTTTGCCATTGTCTGGTTTGAAAGAGAAGGGAAATTGTGTTTGGAACATTGAAAGCATCTTAAAAATGAGGTGACATTGTCGCTGCTGGTGCTTCCATGGCAACCTGCATTTGTTTCTCAGAGCTGTTTCATAATAATTAATACACCACTTCCATTCACGTGGCCCATGTTCAGAGTGCACAGCGCAGCCCCCACTGGGACTTTCCTGGGTCGCATGAAATATTTATACCAAAGAATCAGAAGAAAGAACTTTTCTGGTGTGTTCTGGCCACCGGGACAAAGCAGTGACACGCAGCCATCCTGCCCAGCTAGCAGGAGCACATTTGCTGACAGTAGCTGGGCAGAGCCCGTGATGACATCCCTCCCACGCGATGACAGGGCGGGCAGAGAAGCCCCGTCCTGTTGATCACACCAGGACAGAACAAGGCAGGGCTTGTTACACAGGCGCAGCAACGAATCCAGGACTCTCCCCTCCATGCACAGGCAAACGCAAGCTGCTCTACCTTGCCACGCCGTGCTGACGTGGCCAGACGTGGCCAAAAGCGAGGGGATTCGGGGAACTGCACCAGCAAAATCCTTAGGCACAGAGAACTCGTGTATCGAGCGTTCCCTCCCCGCTGCAGGCTCTGGGGGAGTGTTCAGCTGAACGTGGGAGGGTGCAGGGGAGAAGCGGATCAAAGATGCAGTCGCCTGCCATAGCAGTAATAAAGACAAAGCTGCGAGTGGAGCCTGCAGATGTACTGCCTCTGGGCTGAGATCCTGCCAGATCCCACACGTGAAGAAGCAGGCTTTCAGCTGGCTGAACCTGGAGAGGAATCGCCATAGAGAAAATTCAGGTGCTACAAGCTGTGGCTAGGAAAGATTCAGTAGGTGCTACTACATAGTCTTAACTCCAACAAGAAGCCGACAGGGTTTCCTGCTCCGGCAACTTCAGCCTTTCTGGGGATACATAAAACTGAGTGGTTGGACCCAATACAGCTATCAAATATCTAATGGCACTTTCACAGAAGGAGGAGGGTGAGCCCCAGGGTCCTGGCTGAACTCCAATTTACGTTCTGCCAACCTTCATTCTTTCTGCAGCTTCAATTGGATACGGGATTCGGAGGCTTTTATCTGCTGAGATGTATTTCTGGCCCTTTTTCCTGCTGATTAGACACTTAAAACAAAAAAACAAAATAAAACAAAACCCAACTAAACCCCCCAAATCCCCCACATGTGAAGCCTGGCCTGTGCCCCACCAGCATCAGTCTGGGAAGAAATCAGTCATCCTCATATGCTCTGAAATGCACTTCACAAAGGCACTCATATGAAGTGTGGGTCCCTCTCTGTCACTTGCTGTCCACACCCTTCCATAAACAAGAGGCTCTGCCACAGACAGCTTACACATACTGACCTAGTCCTTGGCTAAATTACTGACAGTCTTCACCAGACACTGTAAAGATCCACAAGTGTCGGACACTTCCTAAAGAGCCTGGCAGAGCAGATGTGCAAGCCAAGAACTCTGCTCTCCCTTGTTGACCTTTCTTCTGCTGAGTGAAATGCTCCAATGGGGGATATTAAGTGATCAACAACAAGCGTAAATTAGGGTAGCGAAAGGGAGAGACCTCTCGCTGGAGCTGTGCCTTGGTATCATTTAAACAGGCTTGAGAGGCTTAATTGTGGGCTCTGGCAGGGTACAGACAGGCTGCTTCACCCCACGCTCGCGTAGTCACAGCTACGAGCAGGAACGGTCCCAAGTTACACTGGAGGTCATTCACTGCCTAGCAGTGCTGGTGCAGCCGAAACATTCCCATGTCCCTGTGAATTATAGTGAAAAGCGGGCTGTTAAGTCTCGATTGGCTGAACATACAAAACCCCTGAAGTCCCAGACAGTGTGTGTTTGTTTGCTCGCTGTTGTGGCTCCTGGTGTCAGAATCTGTCAGGAGATTTCTCTCTGTATTTCACTATGATGGGAGCACGTGCAGTTTGGATTCTGCTCAATACCTTTTCATCGGCTAATTCGAAGCTGCAAAGCAAGGGGCCAAAATCCCAGGAGACAGAAGCTGTTCTTTTGAGCCTGCCTATGAAGATCTAAGAGGTTAATGAAGAGATCCTCAAAGTTGAAAGGATTGCATGGACAGTCCATAAAGTGAAAGAGCTTTCCTACATCAAAAGGTCAGAATTATTTCAGTTCTCTCTCACATGATGATCTCTCACAATCCTGTATCAGACTGACAGGGCTTCTCCTGGTGCTATGTGTCACAGGAGACATTTCAGAAGCCCTCATCCTCTTCCTCTCGGGAACAGTGCTTTCATAACAGACACTTCCAAAGCCCTTGTCAGTTCTGAAAGATAAAGCAGCAGCTTTTATTTCTTCATGTCAGCAACCACCCTTTCCGACTCTGCTTTTACATACTGACTGCATTGTTTACTATAAAGAAGGTTCTTATGTTGTGTCCCTTGTTCGCTTGAGGTGTAGCTGCACCGGGGCATTTGGCTGCTCCCCGCCCTTTTGTTTCTGACTGTTCACCTCTGGCAGAGACTCACCTCTTGATATTCCCCTTCTTACTACATACACTTCCTTTTACAAAACACGCGAGTTTCATTCCTCTGATGAAGCAATGAGCTAGGGACTGTCTACAGGGACTTGCAACAATATCAATGCCTAAACCCCAGCAGCTACATGCAATGCCTTACTCAAAGAGGGTTTTGTTTTGTTTTAAATTGTAAACTTAAACATCCGTTCTCCTAACAACTACAGAACTTGGCAGCACTGTGACAACGCCCTTCCTTTAAGGCTCTTGAGGGTTTTTCTCAAACTTGTACATTATCAGACGAATTTAAATAGGAAAAAAAAAAAGTTCAAAGCACTGACAGGTTAAATGCTTTGCCCAAAACCACAAAGAAAGTGAGTGGCAGGGTTGGGAAAAACTGAGGTCTCTTCCCACCCTTAGTACTACCAACCATCATTTCAGAAAAATCAAAATGTTAAGCCAGATTCTTGATGTCCTTTCCAATTAACTTTCAGTAGAGGAAAACAGTCAAAGCACAGGGTTCAGAATTGAAACACTGTCACAGGCTCCGGCTAGCCTGCGGTTAACCTGCCCCTACGAGCTCGGCTCAGAAAGGCTCAGCAGCGTGCCTTAGACCTAGAATTACTAGAGAATCTCATTCTTCAACTGGAGCAATGGGATGCCCATCTCTTTCAGGGAAGATACCTGCTGGTGCCATTCAATTCAGTTGCACCTGAAGATCATAGATGGGTAACTGCACACCGTGGGTTTGGGATGACACCCGCCACTCCAGCCATGCAGCAGGCTGAGTTTTTGCAGCGCAGATTATTGCTAGACGCTTCTGACTGCACATCACTTCAGCATAGATTATGGGTGTGAAAACATAGCATCCGTTCATTTCCTTTGCATATCTGCCATGTGTTAATCGAGCTCTCAGGAAGCTGTGCAGTGCAGCCATTTGGGCTGCAAAACACTACAAACCACCCTCAGCACAAGGCTCATTTTCAGGTAGGGATCCGGAATGAGGTGCCCATACCTCATTCTAGGAAGCACAGTATCAGATGTAATTGCTCCCACTTAATTAAAAAGGGTGACCTTTTGGGTTGCAGCTGTCCTATGAAAAAACAGCTCTTCCTCCAAGCTCATTGTTTAGGATGATCAGGCAGAGTGTAGTAGAGAGCACTAGTGCATATCATGAAGAGAAGGTAATTGTGCTTTCACCTGCTATTACAGAGACAGGTTTTCTACTCAGGCTTGCAGATGACCTTCTCCAATCAAACATTAACTTTACAGCAAACAATCATTAGGGAGCATTTGCAGCCTTTAATAATTAACACTTTTATTAATCCACTGACTCCACTTGAAGCAACAGGTCTCTCCAAAATTAATTCGGTTGCCATTTAGAGAAGAAAGAAATTAATACCATTTCAAGGCAGAGAAGGAAGAAGGTATTTAGATTCCACTACAGTTTCTAAAGGTACTGGATCCGCTCCTAGAACTGTAATTAGGCAACTTATTAACTGAACTGCCAAACATAAGGCTAAGTAATTTTCAAAGCCTGGGCTTTGAGAAACAGTATTACTGGCAGCCGTGCAATCCAAAATCCAATCAAGAAAGACCACAAACTTTCAACAGGCTGAAACTCCATCAGCTGCTTATTGGCTGCAAAATGCAAGGGAGATGAAGAAAGAGGCCAGCTAAGCAAATTAACTCCTTTAGAATAAGGGACCTGCTTCTCTAAAGAGCCAAGCAATGAGTGGAGGGAGATGTACATCTTCAGAGCTGTACTGCATAGAAAGCCCAGCTGGGAGGGAGTAATTTCCACCTGTCAAGCAAGCTATCTCAGCTCAGTGATTACTTTGGCTTGTGGGACTTCGTGGTTGTGCCGAGAGCCCAAGAAATTTTAAAGGTCAAAAAAAGTGCAAGAGACCACCCCCCGCAGCATGCCGTTGCTCAGTTGTCAGTGATTATTCTGAATCCCTGTCCAATAGCTCTTTTAAGTGCTAACACAGAACAAAGTTGCCGTTTCACAAGCTCACTAGAGAGTCAACCACATCAGATACACAAGCTGGGAAGAACTCAACAGCATTTCTTACCCTCCCTTTTTTTTTGCTTCCTTGGATCGCCATCTGTTTATGAGCAGGGCAGGCACACGGCTGGCACAACTGAAACATGAAAAAATTGCAAAGCAAACTCAGCTAATGGCAGAAGGGAATCAATAAGTGTTGGTTAACGTAACTACTATTAAACATGCAATGCTGAAAAAAAAAAATGAGGAAGTGCTGAGAAAATTCTCCTGTTTAATCCTTCTCCATCCTATGTCTCCTTATTGTTTCTCCAGATCAGCTTCTATGGGGCAAGAAGCTGCCTTATCATTTTTCAGTTAAAAACCCCCTTACTGCAGCACATCACAGTGCCAGGGCTGAGAGCAGAACCTCGTCTTGCTCAGGGCTTTGCAGAGCTCTGCTTGAACCACCAGATAACGTTCCCTTTTGAGTGGTATGGTACATGTGGGATAATTGAACAGGCTCCCTCTGCAGTGAGTAACTCTTGCCTTTGTGTTTGAATACTTGACGAGCGTTTTGACTTTCTAAGTATTGCTGCCATTTAGAAACACAGCATGAGAATCAGACTGTTAATGCATTACTTCATGCAGTAATATGTAGTAAAGCTCATGGTTTCAATTCCGCCAGCTTCTCCCCTGTCAGTGCCTAAGTGGGGGTCCTGCTGTTCTCCACCGTGTTACTACATTCCCCTCCTTTTTTCTTTAGCTATGGTAAATCAGAAACAAATTAAAAAGAGAGGATCAGAAGATATCAGACTCTTTCATTAAAAATATGCATATATTTAAGTTTTCCTTTTGTTGTTACTCAAGTTTTGCTGCTGTGGGCAAGATAAGACATAGGAGGAAAACAAATATTTTACAAAATATCTGCCAGAGAAATTCTTACCTGTAAACCATTACACGCACCCTCGGCATTCCTGTATGTCTGAGCCCAGTGAAGTCCCCCTCAGAAATACTGAACATTTTAGTAATGCTCTAAACTTTTAAAGCAGCAATAAACATGGAGTGAGTTTTAAAATAATTCCCTGAGAAGCCAAGAAACAAAAACCCCATTTTACAGATGGGTAAGCAAGTAGAAAAAAGATAAATTATTTCCTCCAGGATACATACTCATCATGAGGAAGATGGTATTACAGTGATCCTGGTTTCCTGGCATCATTCAAAATTGGCCATGACCCTCTACAGCCCAATATACAAAATAAAGTTTTTGTAGCAAATCAGAGCAGATGAAATGCTTCAAAAGCAAAGCACGAATGGCAAGACTACTGTCTGAGAAGGAATAATGTTAATTTGTTGTCAGTCAAGCTTTTTTTGTTTTAACAAGCACAGCTTGGTTTGTTTTAAATAGGCTTTAACACAAAGTAGTTGCACAAACACACTAACTTGCAGTATCGGCAGTCCTGTGGATATGGGTCTCCTGATGGACTATAAAGCCTAAGAAGACTCGACCTCTACTCAGAGCTCTTTTTGCAGCTGCTAATAGTCTCCCTTTCCTTTGCTCAACTGCCTAGTTTCTCAAAGGTCGGAGGAGCTTGTATACCCTTAGCATTACTGATTTACTGTCAATTTTAATTGCAATTAGCAAACTGATTTAAAAACTAAGCTGAAGCAGATGAACGGACACCCACCTATTTACTTTTATTTCCATATGAAGACCAAGTAAAAGACAGTAGGAAATATACTTTCAAATTTCTGTATTAGAGCCACAAAATTAACAGTATTGGGCTTTAACAGTCTGCAGCTGTAAGGCACAGTTAGTGGCACCCAAATATACTTTTAAAAGATGACCTGTAATGTATAGAATTTTTTTAATGTAGTGACCAAAACTAGGTGAACGATACTCAACCAAATTCAGCAAATTCAAACAGGCATCTGGAAAAAATGTGTCCTTGCAAAACATTAAAGGGATCATTTGTACCTGGTAAGCCAGCTGTCCACTGATGGAAAGAGCCTTAAGGTCTCACTTTGCTGCAAGTGGGTTTGGAAAGTTGTGCTAATGATATGTAAAAATGCCATTACGAAAGGGCAGGTCCATTTTTATACTCTGCACTCACATTGATATACTGACTCCTTGGAGCAGTGGACATGAATCTTTAGATGTAGAAGCAGTTTAAGCCTGAATTGCTAGGTCTTATTCAAGTTGCCAGCTCTGCCAAGGTCTTGAACCTGCCGAAATCCACACAGCAAGATGAGTTTTTGCAAAAAGCTCAGCTTCCATCTGGGCACCAGAATATGCACTGAGCTCCTCCGCAACCCCGGCCGCAGCAGAGCGGTCTTTGCGGCGGCGGAAGAGGGAAAGCAAACCTGGCATACTTGCATCTTGCTAGCCAGGTTGTAAAACGGGAACACTGCTGTGCTGTTCGTTTGATTGATTTCTCCCTCTTCTTCTGCAGGTCCAGGCTCTGAGCTCTTCAGGGCAAAAAGCCCCCTCGTTGTCTGTACACATACAACACAAGGCACAAATGCTCTGGGTTTGGTCCAGACTTGTATGTAGTGCTACATACAGATTACTAATGTAAGTAATAAAAATGGAATTAAAGAGAAGTAGATGACAGGGGGAGGGGGGAAAAAGGGGAAAGCAAATTAATTCCATAATCCTCCTCATCTTCTTAAAGGAATAAACTCCCACCCACCAGCCTACTCAGTCCTGCTGCCCGGCTGCGTGGCAACGCACAGCACAGAGTTTAAAGCCAGGGTGGACGATCACGCTGAAATCAGGGAGCCAAAGGAATGAGCTAACGGAGGTCACAACTCTACAACAACAGGGTGTTAACAGGACACCTTGTGTTGAGAAAATGTTGCAATGCAGTGCTGCTGCACAAGCTGTTCTATCAGCTCTGTTCCCTGTATAGCCCCAGCCCAGGGCTGCATGCGCAGTCAACTGAATAGAGCATTAATAAAATGTTGTAACAAAGGTAATGATGTGCCTGACAGTTCAAAGGATGTTGATGTATGAGAAACTGGCCCTTAGCTACCGAAGCAATGGGAGATCTATCATTGTGACTACTAAGAACTGAGACGTACAGAACTTGAGGTAATCGCCCTTGAAGACTAAAAGAAAACAAACAACGAAGTGGTCGGACTCCAGAACAAGATGTGAAACCCACTGTCAAGATAATAATGACTGATAAAGTATAATTCTGTGTATTCTGGATTAGGTAATGCTTTGTAGGTGCATAAATACATGTATGCGAACTCATGTAAGCTGTCACTCTCTGCGGAGGTGACCCAACGCTGCTGGACCTGAATAAAATCCTAGAGTAACCCACGACGGAGTTCGAGTCTCCTTTAACAGTTTTGGCACCCCAGATGGGACTCTAGGCTGTGACGGGGAGGACGAATAAAAGAGGATCCCGATATTACATCCTACAAACTGCCGGCTACAGAAAGGTGAGTTCAAGTCTCCCCTTGTCTGTGTTTGTGGGTTGGAATAGGAAAGGATCACTCTGAAATACCCCTCACAAAGAAAATTGCAGAATGGGAGGATATCCTTCAGTACCTAAAGGATCTCCCTTGGCAGAATTATTAGCAAATTGGAATAAACTTTCTGGGACAGCAGGGTTGAGTAAAAGTAAAATTATAGTGTTATGTCAAGATGACTGGCCATTTTTAACCAGAATTAGAGGGGCAGGTCCCCAAGAAGTATGGCCACCTGAAGGTACCTTCGATGAAACTAGGTTGAAATGTTTGAGATTGATATTAGAAGATAGGAATCCGCAGCAGATGAATTATTTATTTTTATGGCTGGAATGGGCCGATTTGAGAAATCGTATGGCTCTAAAGAAACCTATGAAAAGAGAAGAATTAATTGCCTTCCTTGATGATCATCAGGGAAAGAATCAGAACCAGAGTTCCCATCCACAATCAGAAGGGAAATCTGTTGTAGGACAATATCCTATGGTAGTGGAATTTCATTCCAATCCTAGAGTAGGCCCCAACTCAGGACCTGAAGTTCCTCCAGTTATTGCAGTTTCCACACACCAACCCTGGAAACCTGGTGATTTAATGTTGTGGCAAGAAAAAATGCCGAGGTTAAGGGACAATGCTGAAAAATGCGCTAAGTTTTTTTTTTTTTTTTTTTTTTCTTCTTTTTCTGACAGTAGCTTGTCATATTCAGAAGAGACATGAATCAGGTTTTCAGTGACTTCAGTGAGCTCCTGCTGCAGTTCGTCAGTTGTTTCCTTCAATGCCTCTTACGCTTCTAAGAGTTGATATTATTTCTCTGAAATACTTTCTTTCAGCTCCACATTAGTCTCCTGATGTTGTCTGAGAGAGCAATGAGCACATTTCAACTCCTCCTGCATCTCTGAATTCTTGCTAATTGTCTCCTGTATGGTTTCTCTTAACTGCTCTCTCTCATTTTGGAGATTCTCTAGTTGTATTGTAAGATTACCATCTCCACTTTCTGTCAGAGTGCTTGCTTCCTAACATTCAGGCAATTTTGGAATAAAATTGCTTCTCTCCAGTTTTTCAGATTCTCTTTGACATTCATTGGCCTTTACTTCCTCCATTTCATGCCATTTCCTTTTTGCCTGGCTCAGCTCTTCTCTCAGAATAAATATTTCTTGCTCAGTAGATTCTTCTTGAATCTGAGGGATCTTGTTTGTTAGGCTGTCCTCCAGAATCTCTGACCGCCTCTGAACCTTTAACAAAAGTTCTTCCCTTTCTTCAGCCTTGATCTTCTCATTGCTCAGAAGTTCTTGTTGACACTTCAATTCCTTCTCAGTTTCGAGAATCATCTGCACAAGGACTGCTGCTCAATGGATACCACCCGATCCCCTTGTCTCCACTGCTGTGAAAATATGCCTTATCAACACTCTCCTGCAGGTTCATCTCCAGTTTGCTCTTCTCTGCTTGAAGTCAATCTAGTAAAGATGTGGGACTTCTGAAATCTGCAACCCCCGTAAAAATTAAGATTAAAGGTGGTATACCCCCAGCAGTTAAGCAGTATCCTATCGTAGCAGAAGCTATTCCTAGTATCACTAAACAAATACAGAATTTTTTGGATAAGGGCATTTTAAGACCTACTGTTAGTCCTTTTAATACTCCCATTTTACCTGTAAATAAAAATCGAAAGGATGAGGATGGAAAT